ATCATACTACAAAATATTTTAAAGTGACTGATTGAGATAAATCATACAGAAAATCGGCTGGCAATGATTTATAGTGTTGACTTAAACAGCACGAGTAGAAAAAAAATATTCATTGGCTTTTAAGATTGGCTTATTAATATCTTTTAGGATTTTAAGGAAAACGTTAAGAATAGGTTACCGTACTAGGCTTAAATTGTAGTTTTCTACTTCTGACTTAAAACTAAGTTAACAAGGTTGTTGGAAAGTATCGTCAAAAAGCCACTTTTTTCCTCAGTTAGTTTCGAAGTCGAAGTGCTATGGGAACCGAACTACATCTTTTACCCGTTTAAAGGTACACTAACTAGAAATTTAATATGTTCTCTCTATAGAGTCAAGCCAGATACAAGCATGTGTCAATTGTAGCATATTAATGAACGACAGAGATGACTCAAAATAAATTCTGTTTGTCTGTTGTGTATACATTATGGAAATATCTTAGTCATAATATTTTAGACATAGAGTATTTTTGATCAAACCAAAGCATCCATAAATTTCTACTATCAACGTTAAATTTCGAAATTTTCCGGCGATTGTGGCGTTTATGAATAGAAATTTATGGATGTTTTAGTTCGACCAGCATTTTTTGATGTCTTATAGCATTTGTATAGAGGCACACGGTCAGCTGATGGAATCTATCAATGACTCATTTGTGTCATACGGCTTCGAGATTCTCTTGTAAATAGCGATTGTAGAATGTTGTTTTTTCTCCATTCTAATCTATATATATATGTAACATATACGAAAAGAGAAATGAAAGAATATTATTAACACATACATATATAAAATCACGTATTTTATTTGAAAATAGTCAGTTGTCCTCTATTCATACCTTTAGTACGCTTACACATTCAATCGACGTTTGCACTAGTGTAAAAACAATCAAACATATCTTTTATCTATTTTTAATAAGTACGTTGTGAATAGTTTCATTTTTTTGTACAACAAAATGTATTTTAAATTGTAAAAAATTCACAGTGCTAACTGAGAAAACTTGAGTAGTTTTATGTGTTTTTTTTCGATTTTTAGACCGAAGCTATGCGTCTAACGCTTATATTAGTTGCATTTTTATTGCCATTGGTATACAGTGAAGTATTTCATTTACCTGCAATTGAAAATATTGAAAACCATATTAGTAATCTTTGGACAAATTTTAAGAAAGGTTATGGTATGTTTACTATGTTAGTTTTGATAATGTGATACAAGAAATATTCTGACTTGTTTTGTTTTAGGCTTTGTTTATAATACATCAGTAGAAGAAGTACATCGATTCAATATATTCTATAAAAATGTTAAAATGATCATTCAACACAATCTTGAACATGATCTTGGTCTTCATACGTATCGTATGGGAATAAATAAATATGCTGCTGTTGTAAGTGATTTAGCTACAAATATGCACCTATAGCTGAAAGAAAGATCTACATCACTAGTGTAGATGATGTAATGTGTAAAAATACCTCATCCAGAAGTCAATTTGCTTTTTTTCTGACTAATCGGTTGATGGCTTGTCTTAAGAGCCACTTTTGAGATAACTAAACTGTTTGTTTTACTTTTAGTCGAACGAAGAATTTAGAAAAACATTGAATGGCTATCGTCGTCAAAAAAATTATCGTGATCAATACTCAGATATACGTCGTCCACAAATTCCTGCTTCACCATATATTGACATACCAGTTTCTGTTGATTGGCGTGATCAAGGCATTGTTTCAGCAGTCAAAGATCAAGGGCAGTGCGGTAGCTGTTGGGCATTTAGTTCTGTATGTAAATTTCGTAACTGTTTTCTTTTCTTACCACTCGAATAATTATATTCGTTATTTTTAGACTGGTGCACTTGAAAGTCACCATGCTCGTTCATCTGGTAAATTGGTTAGTTTAAGTGAACAACAGCTAGTTGATTGTTCAACAAATTGGGGAAACAATGGTTGTGAGGGTGGATTAATGGATAATGCATTTAAATATGTTCATGACAACAAGGGTATTGATGATGAAGCAACATATCCATATCAAGGAAAGGTTTGTATTTGACACAGTTTCAATAGAAAATACAACATTTTTGTGTATATGTTTTAAGGATCAAGCATCATGTAAATTTCGTCGAGCATCGGTAACATCAACATGTGATGGATTTGTTGATATACCAGAAGGAAATGAAACGGCTTTACAACAAGCACTTGCATTAGAAGGACCCGTTTCGGTTGCAATTGATGCTAGTCAAGAATCATTTCAATTTTACACATCAGGTAAGCTTATTAATATGGATTATAGAGAAATAGAATAAGAACGTTCATTTATTTTCATAGCTCTGACTTAGTAAGTACAGTGTGAAATGCTGCTGAAGGTGTCCATGAGTTGATCGTCATTTATTTAAGGCTATTCAGTGCTCAATCGACGGCTCGTCACTAACTTTTAATCTTTTTTATTATTTAATATATATACGATGTATTTGTCTGTTTTATTTTATAGGTGTTTACTCAGAACCAAAATGTTCATCAACAGAACTCGATCATGGTGTTTTAGCTGTTGGCTATGGCGTTGCTAATGACCCTATTAAAGGAAAACAAGAATATTATATTGTTAAAAACAGGTAATTTTTGCATGATTGGTGTGGAAACAAGAATTTTTGTAAATCAATGACGTGATCTTTCTAGCTGGTCGGAACACTGGGGCGATAAAGGCTATATTAAAATGGCCCGAAATAAGAAAAACATGTGTGGTATAGCATCGGCAGCATCCTATCCAAGTAAGTTCCTTCATTAGTAAAAGATCATTTGTTGGTCTAATAAGTTACTATTATTAGCACTTTACCATCAAATCTCATTGAGTGTCATTAATAATCCAGAATATTTTTAAATTTTAGTTGTCAAAGATACCAAGACAATTGAATATGTGTGGTTGTAAAATGTGAAGATACAAATACAAAAAATCCACGTGTGAGTATTTACAGAGTTTTCGATTACTAACGAAATAGGACAATCTAGATCAATGTATCGAGGTCATATAGAATCTAAGTATACTGAGTCTGAGCGATTTTTAATTTGTCAAAAAATATCTGACTATTCTTGTGTATTTAGAAATGTTATTGTAGTTAAAACTTGATACTATATAATAGAAGATGAAGCAATATATTTTAATCCGGTTTATTCATTTGCTGCTGCTTGTTCGTTTATTCTTTTTTCATAAATATTCTACGATAAAATCATTTAACTTGTTGAAAACATCATTTCAGAACTGTATAGAATAATTCGATCGGACCTTTTACATTTTCTTTTTTTTAATATATTTCTTATGCACTTTGTATTAATGTTGTTGTTTTTCTGTTTTTTTGATAAATCATACTTGTACAAAATCTCTATACATTTTGTGATTACTTTTTTTCATATTCGTATGTGTTTGTTTCCTGTTGATATGTACTCACGCTTTTTGTACAAATGAAGATTTCGAAACATTCGTTTTTATAAATCTATGAATAGATCTACAGATCTATGACGTTCTTCATGGAATTGATGTGAGCTTTATATTATATTATCGAATACATGACGAATGATGCTTTAATAGCAAAAAATAGATGGTATTAAGATGCTTGTTTATCTGATGAAATCATTTTTTATTTTTTGCTAATCAAATATTTTGTCAAAAACTAGACGTATCGTCTATTAAAAAAATATCAGACAGTTAACTTGAATATTAAGAAACTTAACCCAGCAAAAAATAAAGCATAGTCGTCCTTACTCTGACAGCTAAAGTAAACATGAGACAAACTAAAACAATCATTGTCAATGATCATTAGTCGAGGGCATCTCACAGTGGTTAAGCGAAGAAAAATGTGATTGAGAGCGAATAATTTAGACTAAGTTAATCTTTTTTTCTCGTCTTAACGGAACAGATAATGAATTTTATACAAAGCAATTTATGATTTAACGGCCATGGAATGCCGTTGATACGAATTAAGACGTTTTTTTTCGGCAGTTTTTCCTTGCCTTGAATACATTGCAAAAGAGTTGTAATCAATAATTATCCATTCAAAATAAAATTGAGCTTATAATTGTCTAAATGCACTTAAACTATACTAGTCATTTAAATAAATGTAGAAAAGTGCATTTATTTAAATCGCTGGTGTGTTCTAAGTGTAGTTTAAGTGCATTTATACGATTACAAGCTCAATTTTATTTTGAATGGATAATTATTGATTACAACTCTTTTGCAATGTATTCAAGGCAAGGAAAAACTGCCGAAAAAAAACGTCTAAGAATCACCAAAGGAAACAGATTTTTTTCTTGGCCGTTAGATCATTACTAACGATAAATAAATGAAAATTTATAGAGGTACATGGCTTAATATTTAACCGATTTTATTTCAATAATGTCAACATTGGACGTAATGAATCCAACTATATTGCTCAAATATAATAAATAACTAGTATAGAATCATGTTACTAAAAACATAAAACTCATCGAAAATGCTATAAACTTGTTAGTCATCTAAATTCCTTCCATGAATTAAAGTCGTGAATAACAAGTACTCAATCATGCCCCAAGCGAAAATCTGACGCTTGAAGGCTCATTAAATCATCATATGCGTCAATTGGCAAAAGCAAATTCTTTAATATTCAAATAAAAAAAGTTTTGTAAGCATATACACACACACACACACACACATACAAAAAGAATTCTGAACATCAGAATAGATATATATAAAAAACATCAATCAAAACGGATGTGAATAAATAGAGAATGAAAGAGAGAAAAAAGGGAAGAGTAGTTTTGTGAAAAAATCAACAAAAATATTCAACTGTACTAAAACGAGTAGCAAATTCTTCATATGCAAAAACATAAATTTCAGTGCAAATACACTGCTAGTAATATATTTGTTCAAAACAGAAAAAAAAAAAAAAATTCAATTTGTTAATTTGTTTCTGTATAAATTAAATGCGCGTGGCATATACAAACAAGTTTACATCTTTTACAGTGATACTCAAAGAAATGAGATGCGTAATCTTCGAAAGAAGTGAGAATGAGAAATACAGCTAAACAAAAAAATGGGATATATAGTTTGCGTCTCCAAGTGTATGTGTTCTCATATATTACGTGCTATCCAGATAAAAAAAATCAATATATATATATATATAAATATATATATATATAAATATATATATATATAAATATATAAATATATATATATATAAATATATATATATATAAATATATATATATATATATAGTGATTGACTAGAACAATAAAAATTGTAGTTGCGCTGCACAAAAAGAAAACTACTATTAGTGTGTTCGATTCAAATATACACTGTTGCACATACATATTTTATTGAGGTGTAAGTCCGATACGTGCTGCTTTAGCAGAAAGAAAGGCATGTAAATGAAATACAAATGGTTTTGGTGATGTGCTAAAATCTAATTCCTAAAAATAGAAGAAAAATATGATGATTAGATACAGAAGAAGCGTATCGGAAAAAAGAAACGCAGTTCTTGTACACAATAATCTCTATACAGTCAATAAATCTTTCCTATTTTGTGTGCTTATATCAACAGATGGAGAGTCTCAAATTTATGAAAAAGAAAGTAATGATACTTACCACTTGTCCTTCTTCGCCATGAAAATCAAGTGTTAACAGATGTTCATTATCATCAGCTGATGATCTCAATTTTTCAAATGGTTGTTGCCATAATAATCGAAGATTTCCTGCTCCGCTCGATGAAGCACTTTTATTCGTTTGTTCTTCTACCATTGTTTCACTGTACAACGTAAATCCATTTTCATAATGAAGAAATAATTTACATGGTCGGTTGTTCCACTTACAAGCTAAAAAGAATATCGATAATAAAAAAAAAAGATACATTCCAATTTTATTATAATTCATCTTCACATACTAAAAACGACTTCTTTCACTTTAACAACGGCCATTTGTACACTTTGTCCGATTGCTTTTGTCCAATACGCTAAATCTGCTTTTGTTTCAACACGAAACAGATGCGAGACAACACCAAATTTCGTTCCAACTCTAAGTGAAAGTAATGAAATGTCAACGTCAACTGAAGGGTATAGTAATTCACGAGATGGTTGAACAAGACTAAAAAAAACAAGAATGAATGAATAAAATAATAATAAGATTATTTTATTATTTTGCAACCGTATATTACCGTGTTGAAAGTATAGAATAAACAGTATCAGGCTCTCGGCATGTCTGTCTTGAAACAGGTGCACAACATAGAAAACAAATTTCAGCATCGGTTAATACAAGAAACACTGGACGCCAAGCAATAGCAGAAGATGTTAAATTATCATCCGTATTAACCTGAAACGAAAAATTTTATAGAAAAAAAACTCTCATTTAAAAAGAGATTACCTGTTCAGCTAACCAACCAAGGGCTTTTAACTCGTTGGCATTCCTTGCGACATAAAAATGTTCTTCAATTTCCGGTAATATTTCTAATAAACATCGAGAAATTTTTGAATGAATAATATAAAACCATTTTTTACAAATGATTTCATCGAGAAATTTAATACTGTAACATGTTTGTGCATATGGTAAAACAATATCAAGTATTGTACCATTATTTGAAGCGATTGATGGAGCGGCTGTTGGTGGTGCCATAGTGGATGTTTGTGATGATAATACTAAAAGTTCATTTGTATTTGATGAACGACGAAATACATAGCACAAACGAAGTGAAACACGTTTTGTTTCATATAATATTGATTCACTCGTTGATGAGTTTCCTGTGCCACGTTTACGATGATCTGTTGTTGTCGATGATAATGATGTTCCATCAATACTATTATTCAATATTTTTGTTGTTTGTGAAGAAGATTCGAGATTATCTTGAGGCAATTGTTGCTGTTGATGATGTGAATGATGATCGCGTTGTTGATGTCTACGAAAATAAGGTGTTACTTCACGTAAATATTTAACCTCCAATTCAACTTCACGTCCAGCTTTTTTCAATATTTGTACGGCATCTTCATGCGAAACGTCGCGTAAATCTTTTCCATTAACCGATAGTATTGCATCACCAACGTATAGTTGACCAGTGAGATCAGCGGGCATATTTGGAAATATCTTACTAATCAATATCGGCATCTTGTTCTCTTTACCTCCTTTTATACTAATGCCTAAAATTGAAAAACAATATATCTAGTAGAGAGTATTCTCACATTAGCGGGAAATATGACGCAACTATATTTTGTCATTTTAGTTCACTTACCGAGTCCAGTGTTATCCGATTTAACTATTTTAATTGTTCGTTTGTTTGAATCAATTGCTGGCACATCTGGCAATGCTGCAGATCGTTCACCGCTGATAGCATTGTTCCCGTTTAATTCAGAAGCTGTAACTGAAGATATATTGTTGTTCATTGTGAGGCTTTCGTTGGTAGCCACTGTAGATGGAGCTACGGCCAATGGATCACGTTTACTATTATGAGCATATTCAATAAAAAGATTTTCATCTTCAAGTGCTATACTGGCTTTAATCCACTTTGAACGAACATATAATTCGACGGTTGTTCGTTCGCCCGTCATCGTGTCTGAAATACAAGGAAGCATCTAAGTAAGGTATTTTAAAACTGAAAAGTCTTTATTCACGAAAAGTGAATCAACACTCTTTTCGTGAATAAACAATTTTCGTGATATTTTAAAACCGTTAGTCTTATTTACAAAACACTTTCCATATATCATTTAAAGATAGTCCTAGATATAGTCGACTGATTTCAGCACCGTAAGTCTAACAAAAACAAGTGCCTTGATATAATACCGCTTCTTCTGAAAGATTGAACGTACAAAGAAGAGTTTCCAAGTGAAGGCGAACTCTGTATGTCAGCGATCGATGCTATGTGATGAATGAGTGGACTGGCGCAGTTTCAATGTAGATATTTTCATTCTCAATGCCATTAAGCAGAGTTCGCAACCAAAAATTCATAGATACTGACACTGGGCCTACTTTCTCACTTCTAAATAGTAGCGAATACGTCCTGTTTTAAATATTTTATAATGTTGCTCTCAACTTTTCTTCTTCGATAGTTTTGACCGTCGTTAGAAGTTACCAGCTTATAACAGCTGCCAATAGTAGGTAACTTCAACATTGGTTAAAAGTTAACTGCCAAGACAAAAACTGTGCAAAAGCTTCAATATGGCTGCTCTAACCAATAGAAGAGTGCATTGCCGTCCATATTTTCTCTTTTAATTGTTCCTTGAATGATGTAAATGATGTACAGCACGTGTCTCTTTCGTTCCAATGGAAGAATAGAAAGAAAAAAAAAGAAAAATTAGTAGTAGAATATGAAAGATGAAATGTTGTTTTACTATAAAGTGAATTTGTCGAAAAGAGAAATTTGCTGAATATACATGCAAGGTATAGTATAGTAAATAGTATAGAATGCATATATAGACGATCTAATACTTGAGTATATAGTCTATATAGACATTGGTCGAATTTTTATTCAACGAAAAGGGAGAAAGAAAAGAAAAAAATATTACCATCAGCGGCCATTTTTGGAAGCTGTTATTCGCAGATAACTTCTAACTACGAGTAAAAAGATGCTCATAGTTTAGTATCAAGTGTTACTTTCCTATTTTGTCCACATCGGTTTCTCCCTTCTTGCTTAATTTTCCTTTTTGCATTCGAACACTAGCTGTTTTTAATTCATGAAGATTTCTAGCATATGTTTAGCAGCTTATTTGTCGTCGCTTGGTTTTCCTATTGTGCTGATCTCAATATTTTCATTCAACTATTTGATAAGCTAGTTCAGATCACCTTCGTTCATCATTCTGCAGCTAAGGAACATGCATGTTCAAAAAAGAAAAGTGACAAACGAATTCGACATACTTAACGTGATGTTTTTCTCCTATGTCAACGAGGAAAACTTCAAGTCTTTACTGCGCAAAGTGGATATTTTTTGCTGTCCATGTCAATGACAAATATCCAAAACAAAGAACTTTCCATGGAACATGTCTCTCTAATTCAGACTTTTAGTACTGAATAAAATTTTGTATGGCGTGCATAGTTTAACATCTTTTTTATGCGGCTGTAGTAAGAGCGATCAGCTAGTTTTAGTTGTTACTTTTATTCCTCGTTTTTGATGAACTCATCGTTTTATATTTATTTCAGATTGTTCAAAAAACATACACATACGATCATGGTAATTGATATGATTTTACATTATTTTGTACTTATTCTATGTTTGTGATTATTTTCGTAGCCTCAAAACGAACATATTGAACTACATCGTAAGCGACACGGTTATCGTTTTAATCATTTTGAAAAATTGTAAGTTTGTTAGAATATAATTTTTAACTAAATGACGCTTCATTTGTCTAATATCTTTTAGAAAGAAAAAAGAAGGTCGTTTACCACATATTCTCTCCAAAAAAGCCCAGACTCTACGAGGCATCAAGTAAGATCTACCATATTTATTATATACTGCAATTTTATTATCTTCTTCATTAGGGCCAAACTATACAACAAACGTCGACATAATGAAAAAATTCAAATGAAAAAGACGTGAGAGAATTGTTATCTGATTTAATTTTCTAACTTCTCTATGATTTTTAATTTTTATTCAGGATCAAAAGTCATGAAGAGAAAGAAACAAAACAACGGCAAGATGTACCAGAAGGTGCATTGCCTACTTACTTACTCGATCGTGAAACAGAAACACGTTCTAAAGTATTATCAAATTCAATTAAACAAAAACGAAAAGAGAAAGCGGTAAAATATAAATGTTTTCTATATTTTTTTCTCTCCTAAACTCATCTAAATTGTTTGTATTTTTTCTAAAGGGTAAATGGGATGTTCCAATTCCGAAAGTCAAAGCTGTTAGTGAAGCTGAAGTATTTCGTGTTGTACAGTCAGGAAAACGAAAAAGTAAGTCTTTGAATAATCAACAATAATGAAATACAACAATAATATTATCTATTTCAGAGAAAGCGTGGAAAAGATTGGTAACAAAACCATGTTTTGTTGGCGAAGCATTTACAAGAAAACCGCCAAAATATGAACGTTTTATTCGACCAATGGTATGGTCATTTTTATTATTACAATATACAAAATTTCATAATTGTCTACCATTTTTAGGCATTACGTTTTACTAAAGCTCACGTCACACATCCCGAGTTAAAAGCAACATTTCAATTGCCTATCCTAGGCGTTAAAAAGAATCCGAGTTCACCATTATACACGTCACTTGGAGTGATTACGAAAGGAACAGTTTTAGAGGTATCACATATCATATCAAAGGATTTAGTCAAGTTTTTTAAAACATGATTTATTTCTGATTTTAGGTGAATGTCAGTGAATTAGGTATGTTAGTATGATGTTGATTATTCGATTTTGTTTTTAAAATACCCATTTTTTTGCTTTAAGGATTGGTGACACAAGGAGGAAAAGTTGTTTGGGGTAAGAATTCTAGGTTTTTTTGTCTCCTATAATTATCTGTTTTATTTTACTTTTACTTTTTGTAGGAAAATATGCACAAGTAACAAATCATCCGGAAAATGATGGATGTATCAATGCTGTTCTTCTTGTGTAACTGTTATCGTTTTCGACTTTTCTCTTTGTTATGATTTTCGTTGTTTTTTCTTACGATTAAAATAAATTTATCGGCTATACATATGTTTTTATCAATTATAAAAACTGTGCTACTGTGATCGTGCAACCAACGATTTGAGTTAAAGATGTCTTTTGAAATTTTAATAAACAGAAGCTTGAGAACAGAATAAATTAGACAAATGTAAAAACACAAATATTAGTCATATAGTCGTGAACTTTATTCAATGTAGATTAAATAAACATAATGGAAGCAATGGAGTTAACGTCAGTCACGAGTTATTGGGAATTTTTGAAAACGGTAAATATTTTAAACATTTATTTACGAGTATTTTATAAAATTGTGTTTATATCTTATTTTAGATTAACTGGCAGGAGCCATGGCTTATTCTACTAATATGTTTTCACTTGTTTTGTTCTCTTATTATCCTATTGACACGTGGCCATCACAATATTCAAATTGGCATGTTTTTAGCATTACGTACGTCTGTGTCAATCATTTTATTTGTGTGTATCAAAAATGATTTTTTTTTCAGTTAGTTTTATATTTTTTTCCGAAAATATTAATCAAATAGCAGCCAACAAATGGAGGTGCGTTTTGTTCATTAATTTGCTATATCATTTTTTTCTTTTTTTTATCTAATTAGATTATTTTCACAAGAACAATATTTTGATAGTCGTGGTCTATTTATTTCCACTATTTTATCCATACCAGTTCTTTTAAATTGTTGTTTACTTGTGGTATGGAAGAATATTTGTAGAATTATAGGTATTCCATAACTTATTATCTGTCTTTTTCTTTTTTAGAGTTTTTGGCTTTGGGAGACGGTTGGTCTGTTGAAAATATGCGCAAAACGATTAAAAATATCTCGACAAAAACAGCAACAACAATATGTACAAGATGCTGAAAAGAAAAAGGACTAAATGACACTGTTATGTCTGTAATATTTTCTTTTTTAAAATATTAACTTAATTATGAAAAAGTAAATCGAAATATGCATCAGTTTTGTCAGTCGGAAGGGACAAACCATTCACTATAGTGATTAAAAAAAATGTTTGTACAGTCACGGATGTGTCCCTTCCAGTTGACAAGTGTGTTGTGCATCATTTATTCTTATTTCATTAGCAAATGTTCTCAGGGCAATTTTTAAATAGTCGTACCAGTTGTTATTATGCTTTAAAAATAGTTACTAACTATAGTTTGCTTCACAAGTAAATCAAAGATGGGTATAAAAAAAAATGTCACCATGTTTTTCACATATCTGTTTTGATGTTTGAAAAAGAATCATGGCAACTCTGTACCGAGTGAACCGAAAGTTTTAGGATTTTATTAAGATCCTAATAAAATCCTAGAACTTTTCGGTCATCCGAATTCAATTAGGATCCTATTAAGATTCTGGTAGGATTGTCTATGATTTTGACTAGATTACATCTTATAAATTTTTGACACTATTGTTACAAGAAAGACTTTGATAGTGAATACTCGAGAGAGAACTTCTCTAGCATTCGAAATATATACGTCAATCTTGCGTATGATGGCCCATGTAAACAAGTTTAGCAGTTGCACTTTCTATCAGAAAAATATATTTGATTTGTTTCAATTTCCCGTAATTATTTTTGAATATTATTTTTGTCTAATTGATTATTTATGATTATGTTTCTGATGTTTGTTTACTGAAGGAAAAGTAAACATTTGATAATATCTTAAATTTATATTTGCACATTGATCCAAAATTCGAATAGAAATAGAAAAACATACCGATAGGATTGTCTCCGAGAATAAAAAATAAAGTAAAAATTTATCGTATTGATAAAGAATTCTTCTTTGAAAATTCATATATTTATTAAGTTTATTTTAACAAACTCCATTTTCTATGTTTTATATGTTACAATGTTTGACAGACGGATAGCGAAAAATAAATCTTATTGATGCTGTTTTGGAAAAATAGAATAAGAAAAAATTTAGTTTTTATCATCAGAAACTGAGACGTGTGAATTTTTTCATTAAAATTTTTTGGAGTATGATAGAAGAGAAAAAAAATGCTTTATTGAACCATCAGACTATACGACGATGTTCATCTTGAACAAATTCATTTAAAAAAAATAAATTTTAAGATTTAACTTTACGTTATTTTGAACACTTCAGCGTATATCAAATAGTAATAAATGAGTGATGCCTAAAATTTAAAAACGAACGGTAAGATTTCTAGAAGTTTTCCTCTTCCTAAAATTTCGAATAAAACAAAATATGGTAAAAAAACTAGTTTGATTTATAAGAATGTTGTTACGTGCTAGTAATATGTAAGGTAGTTAAAGATTCTTTGCTCTAAATTACTAACGTGAACTCTTTGTTCACGATAGAATTTTTTGAGATGCTTGTTTTTCACTTAATTACTGTCAATCAAAAAAACGTAATTATCAGTAAAAACTAGAAATGAAGAATATACCCGTTTGCTCCGATGTCCGTTGGGGGAAAAGGTCATTTTATGGTTTATGTTTGATAAAATAAATAAGGATACTCAACTTAAATTTAGATAGAGGAAAGTTTAGCACTTGAAAGCATACAATTAATAGATAAATTTCATCGTAGAACCTTAAAACTGTAAGAAAAGGGATTGTATAAAAATAGAATACAATCTTTTTTAATAAAACATCAGTGATAAGTTAGTAGCATGTTGCTTTTGTTTAGAATAAATAATTTGCTCACAATGTTAAACCTTGGAAAACAGAAGGATGTACACCGTTCTAAATCGTCGCCAGTTGAATCGTGCTTTAGTTTTTGTGGATTGGTGATATCCATTGGTATGTTAGGTGGATTAGCTGGACTCATTTATGGTATTGTGAAACCAAATGTAACCGCTTTGATTAGTGGTAGCGTTGTCTTAGGTGTAGCTATAGCACTCACAGTAATTATCATAATATTTGTATTTTGTATTCAAAAAAAAGATGCATCAGATCAACTTTTATCATCGTCCTCTCGTGTTCACAATTTAAGATCAGAACATTCACACGTCCATCATCAACAACAGCACAACTATAAACCGCGACCATCACGACAAGGACCTCCGTCTCAGCAGCAACGCGAGAAACTTTCTATTTCAACGGTAGGCGTTGGATTAACAATGGATAAAAAATATAGTGCCGATATTCATTCAATGAAAGGAGTGCCGGGTACTCGTACTTCTCTTCAAGAGAGTAATCATCATCAACGATCATTACAACTTAAAACTACCAGTTTCGTTAGTTATTAGAATTTTTTAAAATATATCATGTACTCTATTTAACATACGACAATGATACAAGCACAAAAGATTTACCTATAAAACGTTATGAAAGCTTAACTACACATAAATTTTTTGTGGTTTCTCTCATTAAATATGCTTTCGTTGTGTGGAACGCTTTTGTAGAAATGAGCAGGTCTCATTTTAAGTTTTATGCTGTCTTAATCTCTTTTGTTTCTGATGCTTCTTGTTTATGCTATATTTGGGAAAAATGCTGAAAATTTTGTTATACTCTTCATTAATTCACGTACTGAGAAATAGTTATGAATAGTCTGACTCAAATTACAGTTTATAAAAACTGATCATTATGCTCTTTACTTTTGTATGAAAATTTTGTGAGGATAGATGAAATATGTCAACAAAATTTTGAGCTGTTTGTTTTCTTGAGTAAATTTGCATAAATCTATTTTTACTAAACCAAGAACCATCTTTACACTGATGGATACAAAACGTGTGTGCATAAATGTTATTAAAGTTCAAAAAGGTAGCTGTCGTATGTACTATGGATGATAAAAATTTGAATCACTACTTTTTTAACGTTTTTTTCTCTTTGTTTGATCAATGGCTTCCATAAATGTAATAATATGGTTTAAAACAATTATTGTTTAAGTGCTAGTACGCTTATTCGATTGTGTTTTCGATAAACTGTTCGACAATTGTTTAATAATCTAAGTGCATGTGTAGATACAAGAAAATATTTCTTTTGAAATAACGTATAACAACATTAACATTTTCCTCACAGAATTTAAAATACATCGAACAACGAGCCATTTAGGAAGTAATATGACATGAGTTCGTTTTTGTGTAATTAGCTTATACAAAAATTCAGACTTGAACCACAAAAATGCCAGAAAAGAAAAAGCTTAAATTGCCAACAAAGTGGCTCTTGTCAATAACAAAAAGTGATAAAAAATCCATACAGGATGGAAAAGAGAAACCATTGTTTATTAAAAATATTATACGTACAACTGATATTAGAACAAAACCCCCAAAATTACCGTTCTTCGCTCCATTATCTCCATCATCGCAACGTTGTCATCGTCGTAGAACGAAACGTCGAAATGAGATTACGCCAGAGGATATTCAATTTGATGTTCGTAAATCAGTTCAACCAATACCGCAAGACAAAAATAAACTTAACACACTTGCTGTATCAAAACATAGAAAGCCAAGAATTCGAAAACAATTTCATTCCGATGAACAACTGTTATTTGATGCTATACCGGAAATATTAGAGCCAACGAATGGCAGTCAGCATATAGCAGACGAAAGCAAGTTTACCTGTCAAAGTAATCAAGATAATGATTTCAACATGTCTAATCGATCTATTGTTGATTATCCGTTAGAAGAACGGATTGTTCGATTTGAACATCTGAACAATGAGCCAATATTTTCTTCATCATCGACAGCAATTTCCAATTCAAGTAATATACCACTTAATGATGAAGAATTAAATGAATGTTTCAATACTATTTTGAGAAATTCAATAGCTGCTAGATCAATTTCACAAGAAACGTTATCAACGCTTGATGGTTTATCTTTAGTTTCATATGAACAACAAGCAACGGTCAGTAATGACGATCTTTGGGATTCAGGACATGGTTCATCACCCTCTTCAAATGAACATAGTCGTCATAGTATTACTACCACAAATCATTCGTATTATACAACTTCTCGTTCAAAAAGTGTGGATAGTCTTAAAGATAATAAAAAAAACGTCAAAAAATCTTATACATCAAACACGCAGAATAACAATTCAAATTTATTTTTTGTTAAGAGAAAAAGTGTAAAATCTAGTATTCAACAGCAACAGAAACAGTCCAGTATAAATGGTCTAGAAAAATCGGGTCTCACACGTGTTTCAGCATCGCTTTACAAATTATCACCAACTGATGACGATCACTTTTGTGAAAATTCTATTAATTCATTCTGCCATTATTGTCCTTCCAACAATCCATCATTCACGGAAGAGCTACCTCGAGCAAAAACTCAATATCACCGTGTTGTTGCTGATTCATCAAGTACAAATGTAACTTCAGAACAGCAACATCATCTATTATTATCGATTAAAAATCATATAAACAACTGCTTTTCTGCTAAGACAGCAACGTCACAAACCGGAAATAGCAACAAAAAACAAAATAAAGTATCTTTATCGAAATTAAGCGTAATGCAAGAACTGTCGGAAAAACTTCACGCCAGTGTTCAAAACACCGTTTATGCAGGTTTTGAGCGCGAACTGATTGTCCAACGTAAAAGAGATTGTTCGGATGATGAAGCCGATACTTAATAATTATCGAAAAATGTCTTTGATATTCTAATTTTTAAGTAACTGGCAAAATTGTCTTGATAGTATGAGAAAAACTCCAACGTTATCGTTTCACGAATTTACTTTACGGTACTTTCACAAAGACTCACACACTTTATACATGAGCCAAAAGTCTAGATTATATATAAGTTTATAGCCTGTTTCTAAAAAAATCGTATGGAACTTGGTGAATCACCTTGACGACACTGTGTATTTTTTTATTCCTGCAGATTTAACGGTCTTAATAAGTAGTTTTGCATGGAGAGTATGAATTTAATGTCATAGATTAGATTCCATGTATTTCAGTCGAGAGAATCATCAGAAAGGGATGGATACTGTTTATATGTGTTATGCTTTGAGATTAGGCTCGTTTTAGGAAAATAGAATCAGAGATTTTGTAACCAGACAAAACTAATTCCAGCGTACTATGAAACTTCACTTATATTCATCTAAAATCTGAGATCATAGAATGAGAGCAGACAAGGAAAAGTAATCTAGAGATAACCCTGCTTTTGGTAACTTTAGACTTGGCTGTCTAGCAACGGTGACTTTGGATAAAAACGAAACCTAAGGGCTTTTGTACTGCTAGGTTGATAATCTTTATTTAAAAGTTTCAAAAAAAAAGCAAATCAAATCCAAAGTTGACATATTTTGAGAGGTAGCTTTTAGATTTATATAAGTCAGTAACGAACAAAGTTGTGAGTGTCGTTCCTGCGTCATTAAACAACCAAACTTCAAATTGAACACTATAAAAGCGTATAGTTGCTTGACCTTGATCGTGAGCTATTATAAACATAAAAAGTGCCTTTTTTGCCGTTTCACGGAATCCCATTCGGATCATTTGAATCGTAACCTAGAAAATTTTAGCAATTAAGCTATTCTTTGCGTTCTATCTAATGGTGTATTCAAATAAATTTCAAAATTTTCTTAAAAAACAAATCGAGCTTTCTTAGGCATCATAAAGCGAACTGATCGATTTTTGTGATTGTCAAGTCACTATACGACATTATAAAAAACAAATTTTGGACTTATACATAATTTAATTAGTTCACAGTATGCACAGAACCACATTTTCTCAGCTTTTGGACGCATGAAGCAGACGAACCTGTGTAGAAGCACCCAGTCCAAATATGATCTATATTCATTTGAATTTTTTCATCGAATATCTATTTTTAATACTTTTTTTACTTTACAATACAGTTATAGTTAGAAATTCTTCGTTACTACATTTTTTTAATCATTTGATTCATCTTGAGGGTTTCGTTAGAGCCCATCGGGTCCATGATTTTTGGACCCGGACCCGATGATAAAAATTTATTCAAACCCGGACCCGGTTGGTTAAATTTTTTTGGACCCGGACCCGCTCAAACAAAATTCTCGGATTCGAACCCAATAATTAATTCTTTGTGATTCGTGCCCGAATCACTCATTTGAGATCTATAATGCAAAATTCTAGTTCGGATTTGATAGTCGATCCAAAGATAGGATATCCTTTTATTTCATTTTTTATGTTCGACAAGTAACATATTCTACATATTCTTTAAGTCATCCGATAGTCCGATAGCGATTCTATAATAATTAAATCAAATTCGTTTGTATTAGTTTCTGTCGAAGAATACAAATGTATTTAAAAAAGTTTCATTATTTCTTTTGTATAACAACTATTTTATATTATAGTAGTCGTTCTCTTTGCTTTACTTAATAAAATATGTATACAAAAATCTAAAAAAAGATCATGAGTTTATTGCTAAACATTTTTTGAATAAAAAGAACAGAAATAAACGAAAATAAAAATAATGGAATTATTTTTTATAGTGGATTTTTTTCTGGCTAATAAAAATTTATAGACCCGGACCCGTTGAATTCAGAATTTTCAGACCCGGACCCGATGGGCTCTAGCTTTCGTTTATCTGTAACAACTAGAATAATTAAACCAGTCAAACATAAAATTAGTCCTAATATCAGCCAAATCCATTTTGTCAACCAAACACGCGGATGACACTAGTTATCAGAAATAAAGACTAACAGTTTATTTTTATGAAACTTACGGAATGATTGACTACAATCACTTGTTGTTTTACGATCTGTTGTCTTGTTAATGGTCTTTTATCTGATACCTTTTGGTTTTGTATATTTAATTTAATTTTTTATTACACGAAATGTTCTTGCGAAGACACTATATACGCCGAATACAGATTAACAATAGCACGATATAAATAAATTAGCTGTATGCAAAAACAGTATATATTTTGAATGAATTATCTCCGTCAACTGATTATGCTAATGTGTCTATCACTGAAATATGTCAGTTTTTGAAAATCTTTTCAGTATTTATAAACAAACGTGTAACTTTTCATCGAATGTGAACTATGTACAAATACATGAGTCATGTAGTAGAGTATTTCATAGTATGAAATGTTACAGAACACTCCAGAATTTGTTAGTACAGTTTTATATGACAAAATTACCATTAAACCAAGATACACACTCTTCTTACAGGTCGAATACAAGCTGAGCTGTAAATCTCAAAGTTAGATTTGAATCTGTTAATTTTAAAGTACATTGATCACCAAACCCAAATAGATCTTATGTTATTGAGGAGAAAAGACAGATCCTACATATTTTTCTTCTTCATAAAAATACATTTTGTACAAACATTGAAAAACAAACCAAACAAATAAAAATTGGCCTAGAGACACAAAACAATATCACATCGGCGGCCCATGTCCGCTTTTAGCTATTTGCTCTTTCAAGAGCATGATACTCGTACGTTGATCGGGTGGTAATTGAGCGATTTGTGCATCACTTAATTGTAATACTTGCATGAGAAGATGAGCTTTTTCTTGATCTGTTCGAGACATGTTTGAGACATTACTACCAGGAGATGTGTGTGACTGGGGTAAAGGAGGCATTGGCATTGGGATACTAACTGGCGACTGATATCCCATTGACGGGATTGTTGGTTGATTGAATGTGAATGGTGGCGGAGGTGGAAGTGGAGGTGGAATCACAGGCGGAGGTGTTGTGAATGGTGTGCGAGATGTCGACTGTGATAAACTTGGATTTGGAACAGGCAAAGATGGTCGGATATGCATTGATTGTGAAGTAGCGGAAACTGGAAGCCCAGCAGGTGTTGTTGAGTGATTTGGAATTATTGGTAGTATCTGCGGTACATCTGGTCGCTTGTGAAGCATATTGACTGCTTCGCTTGGTTGTATCAAACCCATAATTACCATTGCTTGTAACATTGCATAGGTTAATTGTGGATTTTGTATAAGAATATTTCGTGCTTCACCCGAGTATTCTTTAATTATTATTTGCATATGTTTCATTAAATCAACAACTTGCTCGGGCGGTAAATTAGCTATTCAAGCAAAAAGAACATTGAAATTGGTAGTTAATATGAAAACAAGTTTTCAACTCAGCTAGTGTTACCTATTGTACGCGCGATTACTTCTGGAACTTTATCCGGTGATACATTTGCTCCATAAGCACTCTCAAAGGGTGGACCGCCTGTCTGCTGATGTAAAAGTCTTAATTCATCGGCTTGAGATGATGCTTTGTCAACACGTAATGTTCGTCCGCCAAATTCGAAACCGTTCAGATTTCTTATTGCACTTTGAGCCATATCAATATCTACCAAATAAAATAAGAACATCATACGATTTTAGAATAACAGTCATCGAATCGAATAGTTTTCTACCACAAAATAAAAGAACGTTGAAAAAATTAGTAATTCTCATGGGAAAAGAAAGATTCAATCAAATAAAACATATGAAAACAATATTTGGAAATAAAATTTCACCTTGATATTCTGCAAATCCATAACCTTTTGGATTTCCCGTTTCACGATCATATACAATTCGAAAACTTAGTACCGGCCCAATGACAGAAAATATTTCTTTCATTTGATCTTCGGTAGTACCATGTGGGATATTTCCCACAAATACAGATCTCGCCTGTTTTTCTTCAACAGACATACCATGAAAGAATTATCTAAAAAAGATAGAATATTGGACATTACTTTATATTAATTCGCATTGATTTTACAATTTTACAATTGAATTCTCTCTGTCATTCTTCCATGTAAAGTAAACTGAACTAACAGTTTAACGAGAATTTTCTTCCTTGAACCAAAAAGAGCGATAGTCAATCTATTCATATAATACTATGAAAAATCTATTATTAAATATTGATATTGATACTCCGCGTCAATTGGTCATATATATTCACACCACTAGAGTCAATCCGTTCTACACAATACAAAAGCTTACTAAATCTCTGCCATCCAGCGTCTGGAGATGCGCTGTATTTGTTATTTTTACATGCAAAATCAAGAGCGAATCAGTTTGCGTGACTCATCACTGACTTTTGATTGGTTCTTATCCTCCATGTACATTCAACGTTGAGCTTCTCTTCTTCCAAAGTAAACGCTGCTCTAATTTAGAACGCACAAGTGAGTTACTTTACTTTATTAGTAACCAGCTTTTTATTTCATGGAAAAGATCTTCGTATTGGTTTTTTGGTCAACTGTTTGAAACAGAAGCAGTTACAGGAGATTCTGGGTTATTTTCACCGGAGCGTGTACATTCAGTTAGTGTTGCAAATTTGACTACATCTCAGGTTCATATTAACTAGTTTTTTATCTGCTGTTTCCTTTGACATCCTTCAAGGTTTTTCTCTAGTTGTTTATTTGTGTCTCTTTTGATCACTTTTTTTCCCCGCACAATTCTTCCCAGAAAGTTGTTTACTCTAATAAATAAAATGTGAAATCTATTGAAAACAAAAAATATTTCTTCTATTCTATCTTGAAATTGTTTTGTTTTCCAGAATTTTTTCAAGTCTTTTGTTTGACTTGTTGTGTTATTTTTCCTTTTTCTGAAGAAACAACAGAGACTATTTGCCAGATGCATGGCTACAGTATGATTACAAAGCCCATCATTCTAATTGTAACGAAGCTTACATTTTCTGATTACAACGGTTTTCGAAATAGTTTGATCTGACAGAACGTTTAGGTTCGTAGCCGCTTGTTTATCACTGTTTACATATGAAATTTTATGTTTTGCACTAAGTTGTATATCGTTTATGTCTTTAATTGCAGTGCATTGAATTTTTCTTAATCATATGATTACACGGTTCTACAAACAACAGTAAATATCTCACATGGAGGTAAGAAAATTTGTTGATAACAGTTCAGTTTTAACAGATTCTATAAACTTTGTCGAAATACATGCCGTTAAAATGATGAGGATGATCTAAATGACACATTAAACGACAACTATTGAATGTCAAACGAACAAATATGAACTGCAATTCAATTTATTCAATAAAATAAATAAACGAACATCCCTGAGAGATAGAATAAACACCCTAAGCGATAAGAATGTACCTACATTTATCTTTTGAGAAAAACAAAAACCAAAAATGTTTTGTAAGATATAACAAGAGCTTATTTCGAGATTGTCTTCATGGATCTATTTACAGCTAAACCTTTGTTTGAAATCTTATGTGTCATCGTGTAGCATCGAAAGTAAATTAAGTTGAATGACAATTTATTTTTTGTCTTCTGTGAACTCGTCATCTGAAGTGAATTATGGATGCTATTTATCCTTTATCGTTTTTTTCCTTCTTCGTTGAGTGCATTCTGTCATTATACCAGTTGTAAAGACTATGTACTCAGAGATAGTGCAACTTTAAAAAACTATTTTCTAAAAGACTTTTGCAAGGATGAAAACAATTTAAACTTATTCTGGTGCAGATCAAAATCTGTAACTTACGATGGAGATAGTCGAAGTCTTCAATTATGTTGTTCACATTTTTTATGCTTTTCTTTTTAATGTAAATTCCTCAAATGTGTTTGTATTCTAGTGGCAACGACAAACCGGACACTCTAATACATGTTCGATGCAGTGAAATAGCTGTGAAAATATTAAGGAATAAATATAAATTTTCTCAGATTGATGATATTAATCATATCGTACTTTTATTCCTTCAAACGAGTTTGATTTACTATATAATTAGAGACACAAGAATACCTTGAAAAGAATCGATTATTCTTGAATCGAGTTGAATGTGTCGCTGATACAATGTATTGGACATCTTTAAAAACAACAACTCATGGCGACATCTTTTCTACTTATTGTAAACAGATTAATACTAAGACATTTTGATGCTGAATGTTTTCGAAGTCTGATTTGTTTTTTAGGATCTTATTTTGTAGATCTAATTTGAGCTACAGGTATAGTTGATGTTCGACTAGAATTATCTTGTTTTTTGGATATTTAGATTTATATTGTTGTTAGATTCGAAACTTCAAGACCTGTTGTAGCGTAAAAGTTAGGTCTAGATCATAAATAAAGGAAAAAAATATATAATTGAAACTGTTGAGTCAAAACTGTAAATGGAAAGGGTGAGCTTGTTTGAATGGAAAGGGTGAACTGTTTGAGCTGTGGTTTAATAATTATTTGTATTAGGCAAATGTATTAATCAACTATCATGTTTACAATTACTCTTAGATTTAATTAGCTACTATTGTTGTTGTTTTCTCCACGGTCTACTAAATGTCGATAAACAAAGTATGAGAATCGAAAACTAAAACATGTTTTTTTCTATATTCAAATAGTAATATTTATGCTCGTCATGTTACTCAATGGTGTCTTGATTAGAAGTGATGTTTTAACATCTTTGTTTATTAGATCTGTAATGTATAATTTGTAAATGATGTCTAAAAAATGACAGCAAGATGTTGATTCTTCTTTAAAAACGATTAATTTGTTGGTGTTTGGATAATTCTCACCGACAAATCTATTTATGTATCTTATGAAAGTGTTTTTAGAAAAGTTCATTTCAATATCTCTAATGTCAATTGTTTTACTTTAAATCCATTGTTACTGATTGACTGAAATACAAATCAGAATTGTTGACGAAAATTTATTAAATGTTCCCGAAATACCGTTCGTCTGTCGTAGCCAAATCTAACTGAATAATATCTACTTCACTGACCTATATATGATCTGCTCTCTTTATATATATTTCTTGATTATATCCTCGAATTTTTAACAAACACAAAATTCTGTCATTTTTACTTTTAGATGGCAGATACTAATTTATTTGAATCTTTGATGCCATCATCAGACCATACGGGAGCGCCAGGTATACAAAAATCTAAATAAAATAAATTATTAGCTCAAATTGTAAATTTAAATTCTAATTTAGGGACGGATTGTTTATCAGTACCTTACGACAATTTTTCTCATGGAAGTCAAGTGTCCGATGATGGTTCGAATAATTCACAGTAAGTTATTTAATACATCACATGTTCCACTTTTTATTTAAAATTAATTCCTGTTTACTTACTTTAGCGAAGATGAACAAGGTTCAATTTTTAAAAGTCGAAAATCCTATCCTACACGCACAAGTCGTCCTAAAATTAACTATCGTGATATTGAACGTGGTATGTACGGCGATATTCGAAATTCATTATGGAATGGTCCACTAGAACGTGTTACGTCTTCATCAAGCGAACTTGTGCGACAAAAACCATTTCATCAACATCGTGCGTTAAACGGCAGTGATAATTCAATGGACATTGATAATCTAATAAATGAGAGACATGAACAAGAACTTGAATCTAAAAATAACAACAGTGACGAAGATTTACCTCTTCGACAGCTGCGTAAACGTACGTATAATTCTTCACCAAGTGGAAGACAAAATTCAGAACAAGATGATGAAGAAGAAGAACAATTTCAAGAACAGCAAGAAGACGATACTAATATGAATCGACGTTTATGGTGTATATGTAAACAAGCATGGGATGTTAATCGTTTTATGATCAGATGTGATAATTGTAGTGATTGGTTCCATGGTGATTGTGTGGGAATTACAAAAAATCAAGCAAGAGAATTGGATATGAATGATGATCAGTTCATTTGTCCGATATGCAAAGATCAACAACGTGCACATGTAAAAAAAATGGCCGAAGAATCAAATATGAATGCTATGAAACGAAAACGAATAGAAGCACAGGTATGGACAACGATTTACGCATTCATGTGAAAGTTTGTTGTAAATTTTGTATACTTTTTGTTTCTAGGCTGCCCTACGAACAGAAGAACGTAAACGAGTAGGACCGATTCTTTCTTCTTCGGATATAACCGCACGTGCAGAACAAATAAAACGACAAAAAACAATTGTTAAACGAGATAGTTCAACTGTAAGAACGAAAAAATTCCTCATTTATATTGATGGTGACAATGGATTTCTTCAACTTGTTTTTAGTTCGATGACACCAATGATAAGAAGATTCATTGTATTCTGCATGGTTGTGATAATTGGAGTAAACTTGGTTGGGTGTATTGTTCAACACAATGTATTCGAAAGCATATTAACGATACACTTCGTGCAATTCAAATTGCAAAAGGATCAGTACGTTGGATAAGGTGTCACTCATACTGACGTTCTAAAAGTTTTTTTTCAACTTTAGGATAAACTAACACGTGATGATATTATGTTGTATGAACAAAAATCTGATACTATCCTAAATAGCTCAGCTGTTCCTGCACCAGTTGATATATGCGATTGGATTACTAGGCATCCGTCGTTTCAAGTTATGCGTCCAGAATTGAAAAAAGCCACGTATATCCACAATAAACTTGGAACACCAAAGATACATCCCGCAGGTCGGTTTTATTGTTTCTATCTGTGTGTGTGTGTGTGTGTGTGTGTATATAGTTTGTTTAGTGGTCATTGTTATTTGTGATTTTAGCTTTAGCAAAACCGTCAACATCTACAAGTGTAAACAACATCAAATCAAATGAAACTATTAGCAAAAAACCACATCTACTAGTTGACAAACAAGATTATATTAAAAAAGTTCAACCATTAGCACCGAAACTGGTAACCACAACATCAATCTCCACTAAGCCTCTACTACAAAAACCACATCAACAACAACGTCAGGATTCAAAAGACAAATCAACAATAAAAAAACCTGTATCAAAAGAGTCTCAATCAGCAACAAATAATAACCAAATGGATCCTGCTACTATTCGCACAAAAGTTCGAAATTCATTAAATGAATTTCTATTGCAAAGGTAAGTTTTATTTTACAGTGATAATTTGACATTTGTTTACTATGATTATGACTGTTCTTATACAGATCCCAGAAAGTAAATTTAACACAATATACACCAGATGATATTAAAAATGTTTGTGTGCAAATTGAAGAAGAAATGTATCGTATTTTTGGGAACACCGGCGATAAATATAAACAAAAGTTTCGTACAATATTGTTCAATATCAAAGACAAAAACAATGATGTATGTATCTGTCTGTCTTCTGTGTATTTCACTGCAAAAAAAATCTTTTTAAATGAAAATTTTAATGTTGTAGATTTTTCGAAAAATTGTCAGTAAAGAATTGAATGCAAAACAATTAGTACAAATGAATGCCGATGATATGGCACGTGATGATGTTAAAGAACAACGACGATTAGAAATATTGAAAGAAGCAGAAGCAATTAAAAAATATAATGCTGAAGCAGCTATTGAACTAGCGAAACGTTCAAAAATCAAAGTTACTCGTCAAGGTCTAGTTGAACTAGAAACAGCCGACCATTCACAGAAAGTAAGTAATTTTTTTTTAATCTTCTAGTAGTCATTTTAGTTCCATTATAAATTTATTTTCATCTTTATAGGATAATCAGCAATTACCATCGGGAGATTCAGAAATTCTTGAAAAGATTTCTCCAAAACCACCCACTATTACACCTTCTCCATTGTCAAATACAAAAGTGTTGCCAATTATAAAGAAGCCAAATATTTTAACCGCTGTATCAAAGAAATCAACAAATAACGAAAAGTCTTCAACACAAAAACCTGTTTCGAAGATAAAATCTGTACCCAGCAAACGTCCATTGGTTGAAACTACTTCATCAACCACATTACCACAACAAACCTCGTCCGCCACTGGATCTCATAGCGAAGCAGATATTCTGGCCAGACATCGTTCCCACGTATTTGATAAAAATTGTCAAATATGTAATACTAATATGACAGTTGACAAACATTTAATTCGACAGGCAAAATTAGGTAATATTCGCATCTTTAAATAGTGAATATTTTACTTATTACTTTCTGCTTTAGATCCAACTCCGTACTCTACCACACCACCCGTGGAACCACAAACGATTCATGAACAAATTGATATCACGATACCAATGCAGGTAGATCCCAATATTTCAAATGAAACAGTTTTTAATAAGAATAAAGAACAGCAAGAAACAGCGACAACCACTACTGCAACTCCAATATCTGGAGATGAAGTTGAACGGGATGGTGGATTTTATCCCAGCACTATTGATGGTGACAACGATTACATCGAACCAGAGAGTCCAACGGGAGACGATGCGAAACTGTATGATGACGATGACTGGTCCGATATAACACAGCAACAACAACAGCAACAACAACGACCTGCCTATGTACCATCAACAACCATTAGTCGAACAACAGTAAAAGTAGAAGAATCATTCGATGATCTTTCGTATCAATCACATCAACCAATTCTTGATGATTACAAACCAACAAGTAGTGAAAATATAAGACAACCAGATACATCTGAAACTCCCATGTAAGACTAAATCCATGTATATATATATAGGTCTTTATATTACAGGTTATACTTTTTAGATATTTTCCAACGCCAATTACTCGCGGTGATAATATCCGCTGGCGTGGTTCGATATGCCCTGATTCACAAAAAATTTATTGTCAGTCGAGTCGTTTATATGGTGAAGCTGATTATTTATGCACGGACATTCCTGATAAAATTACGATTTGTGGTCGTTTGAGACCAGATGATTTATATTCGTATATTGAGCAATCACTTCCTGTTCGCGATGTATTAATTATGAATTTGGTATCATCAAATGATAGTACAAAACAATTATTCGATAAATATGTTGATCTATTACGTCTATCAAATCGGGCTGCTGTAGCAACTAAAAGCATGCAAAAATCCATCAAAGATATTTATGTTATACCCGTTAATGATTTAAACGTATTTCCAACAGTTATACGTTCAATAATAATTAATTCATCAAATAATGGTGCACAATTGCCATTTTCAACTGGACCAGATGGTTGCTATTTGTTTATGATTGTTGTTGCATCGGGAAAACGAACATCGACCATAGCAGCAAATGATTCAGTAAAAAAAACTGTCAAAAATGTATCACAGCAAGTTGATCCACAACAGAGAACAACTGCAACGACAGCAACAACAGGAATTAAAACTCTTACATACAAACCGGTGATGTTACATGATGAAAAGACAACGACTGCAAGAGATCCAAGACTTAGAAATAAGGATCCAAGACTACCAGATGAAACGACACAGCAAAAAAACGGTATGCTGTAAACACTTATTGACTCTTCTTAAAATAGACTTACAAGACTTGTAAGCTATTTATGTATTCTTCTGCACCACCTCCAAATTTTGTTATGCATTCTTTTTGTAGATACACCTGTCAATGCGTCAAATTCAACAACAAAAGTTTCATTTTCTCAACCTCAAACCATACCCGATATGAATATAGTTAAAAATGAGCCAACAGTTGTTGAAGAACAACAACAAAATTCACCGCCTGTACTTAAAACGGAACCGGTACAACCGTCTTCTAAGTACGAGTATTTTCTGTTAATAACTCATTGAATTTTAAATTGTTTCTGTTAATTTAGCGATGATATTGTTTTACAACAAATAATATCAGAATCATTAAATCGTGTCCGTCAAGCATTAACACTCGAAGATCAAACGGCTATTATTGTTGAAACCGTTGAACGCTTAAAACCTACACCATTTTATTGTAACAAGTATCTTGATGAATTAAAAAATGCCTTAACTGATTTACAAAAAACGCGTGCTGAATTAGCGTCTACTACAAAATTGGAAACGAATGACAAATTGGCAAGTGTATTACCTGGAGATAATCATCGTACCGAAGATATGGATGTGGAAGATGATATTGAAGATAAATCGAGTAGTGCAATGGAGTACAACGATGTTGATTATCGATTTTTAACTTCTGCACAATCGAGAGATGAAACTCCTTCACCACGGATCACTGAACCCAAAAAAATAATTACTATACCTGAAATTGATCAAGATCATCGCCGACAACTACCTACTACAGATAGTGATCAACGAAAAAATATCGTCGAAGAAAAGATCACCGATGAAAAAACAAAAGATCGAGATCATCGACGACGAAGATCACGTTTTTCAGCAGTAAATATAACAACAAATGATCCTACGTTACAAATCACTCGTCGTGATTCAGATGATCGACAACCACTATCAACAAAAAAACATAATTCAAAATTACCAGTTAGTGTGAATGACGTTTTTCCTGATATCGATGAGGATGATGAGACAAACAACAGCATAGAGGAAAAATCACAATTGTTATTAGATGATGAACATACAACCACAAAGATAACTAATTTAGATGAGCCTAGTTCAGCTGAGGTAAATAAATAAATAGTTAAAAAATACTAAAAATAGTGTAAAAGTTTCAGAAGCGTAAAATTCCATGTTCAATCATTTCTTCCCAAAGTGAATTGAGTATGACAATTTTTGGCTCTTTTCAAATTTAGTATAGAATAGATAGGTTGATAAATGCAATGATGTTTTGTAAAAAAAACTAAAAGCTAAACTAAGAGAAAAATAAGAACCTGCAGTTTTGAATGTTTTAAAATTTGAGCTTTTTATTCGAGTAGATCTATACAGAACATTTATACTACTGAATAAAATGCGCCAATTTCTATGTTTTAGAGTACAGCGTCAACATTCTCAAACAAATTTCGACCGGTAGTTGAAGCGGATCAAAATGTCACCGACACAAATACTTTGGACATCGACGAATCATCTCCAACATCAGACTCTTATAAACCTATCCGATTTTCTATTTCCAAAACACCGACACGTCAACGTAACTCAAGTATTTCACAGCAACCGCAATCATCATCACCACCGCTAAACACTGACAAGAAGACAGCCGAAACAGATGCCACATCGAATTTAACAAACACAACGTCAACTGAAGATCCATATGAGACAGCTCCACAATACATTGAAGATTTGATTCAACAAATACAACAGTATGGTTTTGAGGGATTATCTTTACAAAATTTAAACTGGACTAAAAATTTGTCATCTTCATCGATACGTACAAGTTATTATTTGAATTATTTATCCCAAAATTATCATGATCAGTCTTCACATTCATTAACCGATCAATCATCTCACATATTTTCATCATCTAATTCCACTAATAATTCTACAACAAAATATTTTCCACGCCCACAACAAAATCATAGTCGAAACACCATGCCACGTTACAGAGATTTTGATCGACCAGAGGCCTCTGATTGATTTTTATACTTCAATATGATCCGCTCAAGGTATCTCTAGTGTTTTTGATCATCAAAAATAAACACAAAAAATCCACCTCCATTGTTTTTTTTAAAACAACAGAGATACTTATTTTTTGTTGTGTGTGTTTTTTCCATGTTGACAGGAGAAAAAATAGTTTATATTATGTACAATTTCGTTTTTCCTGTATTATATTCTCTAATATTTGCGTATGCATGTCTGTTTAAGTGTGATTTGTTTGTTTCTTTTTTTCTTGTTTTCTATTTTATCACAAAAATTAATTTCAACCACATTGGCTCATCAAAAAGAAAACATAAAACTTGCATTATGTAATGATCGAAACAATTGTATTACGTCATATAGATTATAGCTAAACTAATTTTAATTTTAAGATAAAATTTTGAAAACTAGAATCTGAATAAAAAGTATGGTTGTTATTAAACGCTTATTTTATGTAATTCGAATATTGATTGTCTAATCGATGTATCATTTATCAGTTATAAATGATAGGTTATATGATATGCTTGAAAGTAATATTAGTAGTATAGTGTTGACTAAAAAGTATCCTCATGATTGGTCATCAGATGTGATTGTTAGAGTTTTTCTTCACAAAGATCTTTCTTTCAACGAATTATTTATAATTTAAATATACAATTGCAAAAACTTTTTCCTTAGTGACTTAAACGTCTAAGTATACAAAGAAAAATAGATAATAGAACTTCGATCCTCGCTGCATCAACTATCGACCTATCTGTCACATCATACAACGACAAACTAATTGTCGACTATGTATAACCAAAATAGAATCTCTGATCAATACAACTTGTGTAAATGGCAAAATATTCTAAGCATAATCAGTTTTAGTGATTAGTGTTGAATGGTGTAATAGAGACATACAGTGTGCATTTTTTGCATAGCAGGCGGTCATGTAACTTTCGTGCTCAAAACCGGGTTTCTTTTGCTCAAAAGTGGCTGTATATTCCTTCAAAAACCACCTTTAAGAAAAAAAAGCATTTTTTGAAAAAAATTTTTTTCGACGAAAAACATCACGCTGCCTCACCTACATTTTTTCGAGAAAATGTTTTTGTTAGAAAATATATTGTGTCATACATCATCCGATGCAGCTTCACATGCTGATTCCGAATATGCCATTAGTTTTCAGTGGAAATGCTTTGGTGTCTGAAAAAGAGGAATCGAGCGTGAAAATCAAGCCTTTTAGGACGTTTTTGGAAAACCTACCATTCGGTCCAGAAGCGTCGGCGCTAATTGGCGCTAACTGTGTTGACATGTCATATATAAGACAGCATTCCCTGAAAAGTTCATCAAAATTGGAAGCTTCGCTAAAGTTCGCGCACGCATTGCATCAAACACACCTTCTGGGAAAATGCTCTAGAAAAATGTTTTATTTTTTTTCTCCAACTTAGAAAGCCCAAAAATAGAAAAGTTTTTTACCAATCGATAGCGCACTTGATGCTGATTCCGAATATATGTTTGTTTGCCCAACAGCTATGTTTGATTTTTTAAAATTTTAGCGTGTAATCCGATTTTCCGATGGACACGGGTTTTTTAGTGTGTTTTTGTGTATAGAATTTTCCCAGCTTAAATAAGTTCTAGGACATAAAAATTTTTGCCATTAAATGGAGCGTGTTCCAAAGTATATTAATCATCCTTAAAATTACTGAAAAATCAACTTTCATTTTTTCATCAAAAGCCGGCCTGGATGCACACTATGAGACAAACAACAACGTGTATTTTCTATACACAAAGTCGTGATGTTTTGTTTCAAACTCGGAATATTTAAACTTTACAAATAGTTGATCTAATCAAATAGATGCTTGTTTTAAAAACTATGGCAGACGGTCATATATCAAAATTCCACACAATGTGTGTCCTATATATGCTTAAATAGACAAAAAAATTTTCATGTTAAGTATGAGCATCGCTGATAGATAAGAAAAAAGCTTGGGAGCAGATGTTTCTTCCGCAAACTAATTTTTAATTAACCTTAATCAACTAACAGATGTGACACAGTGTTCGGAGAGTACTGTAATTCTAATCATAACTATGAACATGAACAATTTGATATCTCTATTTTGCATACTAATTGGTATTCCTTCAAGCTTTTTGTGACAAAATCATGTAACATAGATGAATATCGAAATACTATTTCATGAGTTACGAACTGAAACTGATTCTCGAACAATTAAATTTTCCCTTTTGTCTACCAAGATACGGAAAAGAAAATTAATACTAAAAATATTGAACGTTTTTAGAATTAATGTAGATTTCTCTTTTATTCATCTGTCTATAATCTTCTCCTGTCTTCATTTTTGTGATTGTTCTTAACTGGGATGTTCCAACTGCGGATGCTCTCCTGTTTTAAAATTTTTACTCTAGATTTCAGAGTAAATAGGTTGTACTTTACTTCAACTGTTAAAAGAATTACAATTTTGACTTCAAAAGCCTCAGGGCACCTCTGATTTTCAGAAGAAATTATAAAATTGATTCCTTTATCGTTATTATTGGAACAGATTTTATAGGTGAAACATTACATGAACCACCTCCGTACAATGGCTAAGCAAATTACTAACATATTTATATTCTAGCAATGAAGGATTCTCTTCGTACGTGCAATAGTTTCGGTTTCTAGGAATATCATAATAGCAAAGTAGTTGTGTTTCATATACAATGACTAGCTTGTCGACCAAATAGACAGCACTAATGGTTGATTAACACTTTTTTTTGAACAACAACTCTTAGTTAACTTAATAGGTCCGTTAACTAATTTTCTTTCTTTCTCTCTCTCGGAAAAGATTTTGTGATTCACTGTAAGAAGAGAATATTATGTACTCTTGAAGAGCATCAACTTTTAATATAAATACACTTCGAAGCAACATCTGCTGTCAGTATTTGTAAATTCGCCGAATGTTTAGTTCATTGTTGTGTCCAGTCGAAATTGAAATTAACATTAAAGATTGCATAAATTAAATAAAAATGATAGTTACAATTTATTACAGTCCAAAAGAGAGAATAGAAACGTCGTTCATGGAGAGAAAATATAAAAAGTTCTGTTTGTATCACGTTTTCTACGCAAGAAGTATATGAGAAAATAATTTATATAAATGTTACGTTAATATTTCAAGAGATTAAATGTTAGAACTAATAGTTAATGTTTTTCAGGTGTTATATTATGTTCTGGCGCATTTGGCGAACTAACAACTCTTTTCGATGGTTCATTTGTTTTCTCTTTTAGATTTCGTGACCAACGTCCATCATTATAACTTGGTGGCTCATCTGCTTCTCGTTTCTTTGCTGATGTTTGTTGTCGTTGTTCGTACTCATAATTTTGGCGCCCATTGTTGTCATCATATTCTAAATCTTCTTCATCATCTATAGCAGCAATACCAAATTTATAAGCAAACCTACGAGAATAAAGTCACAAATAGTGTACTAAAAACTCTGTTTGATCAGTTACTTACCATTTAAATTTATCAACAATACCTTCCTTAATCAAATCAAAACACATTGCTAAAAGAGCTAAACCAAATAGTATATAAATGGAACCCAAAATAAAACGTAATCCACTCATTGCTCCTGTTTGCAAACCTGGTACATAATCACCAAAACCTATGGTTGACAATGTTATATAACAAAAATAAACAGCTTCAGTCATTGTCCAATCTTCAAAATGACTAAACATAAATGCGCCGAGACACAGATAACCAATAATAATGGCAATCACAGCTCCAAATGGCACACGACTTTCTAAACGATCCCAAGCATCTTCCTCCTCATCTTCTTCTTCTTCACCAGGCGCACTTGTTTTAAGACCACCAGATGTCGACAGACCCCAACCCTGTTCACTTGGATTCGATGCCCAGTTATTAGTCTGATTATCTGCCCCATCTCTTTCTCTTATTTTTCGACGACGACGACGATTACGTGTGTACGACCGACATACACAACAGCAGCAATGCAAAAGTGCCGAGTACATAAAACCTTAAACAAATATTAGAAATTTTGACATAGTCATAATCATTCAACGATATGTAAAAAAACAAAATACTTACGAAATATATCACCAAGTACACTACTTATATTTGCTAAACACAACAGAAATATCGGTATACCAATGAGAGCATAACAAATACAAGTTATTTGACCTTCCCTAAAATCATGTTAGAACGAACGGTAAGCTTTAAAACACAAATAAATTATCAGATTTACCAAGATACGGGGGTAATATGACCATAACCTAGAGAAAAAAAATAACAACTAAATATCGTAGATTTAATATATAAGATATAACAGTACCTATTGTTGTAATAATCGTAATTGTAAATAACATTGCCGATGGAAAACTCCATCCTGATACTGTGTCACAATCTTGTCCGGTATATCTTAGTTGATCTTTTCGAGCATAGATATCCGTGGTAAAATTTGCTAAATAATCCTCCATTTGATCATACATTACTGTTTGATTATCACCAGACAAAACCACATAATTATACATTGTTTCCGATAGATTTGTAACAGAAACATTTTCACCCACTTGATAAAATCGTGCACACAAAATATAAAATTATATCTTTTTTAGAAAGAGAATAACTTACCTTTTCCTTGTTGACAATTTTGTAGTTCAATATATTGTTCAAGTAAAATAAATAAAAATGCACCACCAATACTGTAAGCAACAACAACAATAACTAGACCAAGATTTGAAAATAAAAATTGAATAAATGCTCGACTCCATGATCGATTTCTGTTAGAATAATTGATTGGTTGAGCATACAAATGAGCTGTACGATTTGTCATTTTACACTTTTTCAATCACCGGTTTATTAACTACTAATATTCTTGTTCGTCCTAGAGAGAAACGATAAAAGACGTCCGTTTCTTGTGTCTTCTAATAAAGTTAATAAATTTTTCTTTTCTATTCAATACAAAAGTAAAAAAAAAAATCATTATGTATATATTTCAAAAAAAAAGACGGTTAAGAAATATAAAATAGAGACTATAAATCTTTTCTCTATTGAACGTTTCAGACAAGATGAAAACACCCGGAAATGAAAGAACGTGTCGAACAAAAAAAGAAATTTCCAAAATAGTGCCAATCTTCTCCTTTTTTATTTTTCTTTTTTTTAAATAAAAAATGTGAATTTTACTTTAAAAAATGAAAATGAAACGATGTGCTTTTAAAAAATAAAGACATTTCTTTCTATTATATCAGTAAGATGTTAAATAAAAAATTAATCTATTTTCTTCTCATTCATGGTAAATTATATAGAACTTTATGAAAATGCAACTAGAAAAAATAATTTAATTTTTTTCAAAAATAAATAATGTCTTCATATAGGACTATCTCATTATTAACGAGATACACGTCAAATTAAGTGTAAAATATTTAGAATTTTCTACAATTATCAAAACTACAGTAAATAAGGTTGCTCTATAGAAAAAGATTAAGTCAAACAATTGCTTTGAAAAATCTATATAAAATTTTCTCTAAAATAATTTATTTCATAATAATCTATTTATCCAACAATAATTTTTTTTGTTTTATTCATCTATATGATTTGATCAATGCTTTATTTTCATTTTATTATTGTTACATCTATATATGTATAGATATCCATATGTAAAAGTTATGACTATACGAACTTCAAAGAATATTGAACAAAAAAATCTTTTGATATACATTTTGTTATTATAATATATACATACAAAGAAAATATCTATAGATTTGGTTATTTGTTCAATATGATACGGATATATGATTCTGTGATTCATCAATATATAGGAGAGAACACATATATACACATTTATACATAATCAATTGGATGAAACGAGAAGAATTTTTTGAGACAACAAGATAATTAATTGGATATTGAATAAGCTTGTCAAATAATTTATACTACTGTAGACATTTCAAAATAATATTTGTTCAAGTTGTTGTTTAAAAGTGACAAGTATATATATATATATATATATATATCAATCTAGTCTAGAAAATTTTTAAAAGCTTGTGTCGATTGGAACTGATTGTAGTTTCTGATTCTCCATAGTCAATTACGTATACATAATAAAATTTTAGGTTAGAATATTCTGAGAACATTTTTCAGAGAATTAACGAGTAGGCATGCACCGAACAATTGACGAAGGATTTTATATATTTTCAAAAACCTGGCGTTTCGTAAATTGGTTTGTTAAAAGTTTTCTGACTTGGTAAGAATATAGAGCAAACATTTCTGCATAAAATGAGAGAGGTTGGACAACTCTGCATGATTTGTTTTAAGATTTTTGTAGCAATATCTCAAGAACACATAATCGAGTAGTAAACGAGTATCGAGTACTCGACGTGTACTTGGTTAGTCCTTTATAGGATATCGCTGCCGAAATCTCAAAACAAATCATACAGAGTTGTCCAATCTCTCATTTTGTAGAGAAATGTTTTGATCTACATTCTTATCGAGCCAGAAAATTTTTAACGAAGCAGTTTATGAAACGCTAGATTTTGGAAAAAATATAAAATCCTTAGTCAATTGCTCGGTGCATGGCTGTTAACGAGAAGAAAAACAGCAAAAAAAACGCAAGTACTCTCATTCAAAAGTTGTGGCATACAACATAATCGACTAAGGAGAATCGATTTCGATCGAACAAAGCCTATAAAACTTCTCGATCAGATTGATATAAAACATCTCAACATATTCAAGAACAGCTTGGCTCATCTAGCTCTACTACTGGAATGAAATTCGATTACGTTTTTTTGTATTTTGTTTCTCTTATAATTTTCGAGCAATAAGATGCCTAGAGCTTAAAAAAAGACAAAAGTATACTGAAGATTTTGAGATATGTTTCCACTCTACACGATCTTTTATTCAAAAAATATGATTAAAATACAAAGACCTACCATAGAGAAACGTCTTGTAAACAAATTTCGAGATATTGAGTGAATCAAGCCAAAATGTTTGAGAGTATTGTAATGAAAATTTTTTTACATTTTCTTTCTTATATGACAGCCATAACCATTAGACATAGAATCATATGTGATCATAGGCTTGTCCTTGAACAACTATGTTCAAGAAAGGAAAAATTTCGAAGTTATTCAGTAAGAAAATTTTCATAGTTAGAAACAGAACGGTGATTCAAGATGTTCAAGATCTTGCGTTTGGGGAATTTCTTGAATTTTTTACGTTTTTTCTTAGCAAAATATCTTGGTTACAAGAAATTTCTCTGTAGTAGGTCTTTGTATTTTAATCATATTTTTTGAACAAACGATCATGTGGCGTATGAACATATCTCAAAATCTTTAGTATACTTTTTTTCTTTTTTAAACTCTAGGCATCTCGCTGTTCGAAAATTATAAGAGAAACAAAAAATATAAAAAAAACCTAACCGAATTTCATTCCAATAGTCGAACTAGATGAGCCAAGTCAAGACTCTTTCGTAGTTTTTAATTTATTCAGTTTTTTATTTTTGTTTTCATTCAATAATGATTTTGGCTAAGACACATTTTAAGATAATAAGAACTCTGTTTAGAAGAAGAGATAGTTGTAGGATATGAAAATCACTTTAGTTTTATGTACAGATCGAAAGTATGTCAAATTTGATTTGTCTGTTTTTTTCATTTTTAATATTGGAAAAATAATAAAATATAAAAAGCGCATATTTTATTTCATAATATAAGTACATTGATACTTGAGTATGTACCATAATAACTGTAAAATGCTGCATATATATATATATCGTATTGCCTATCTGTTATAATTCAAGCGATTAAATATGGTTAAATCTATGGAACTGTTTATATACTATCATACAAATTACTCCTCTATTTTCAATTGTAATATCTATCATATCATTCTTCTGTCAACCATCATATAACGATTAAGAAGATATTTTTTTTTCTTTCTGGTTTTGTTTAATGATAATACAAAGCATCATGAGATAAATTAATATTTCTATCTATTTCTTCTTCAAAAAATCAATTAATTTATAAATATTTAGTAAAAAAAATTCTCAAAAAAAGAAAAGAGTTTATAAGTAAAAAAAAAAGTTAAATTTTATAATGAAAATTATAAAAACGATATATTCTTGTTATTACATTCAATAATTACCAATATTGGGAAATGATATAAATTTTCTTGTATTATTCTTATAAAACATCGTTTATTTTATATTTTTTGTCTTGTTGGCCATTCTCTGTCATGTGGACGCACTTTAGATGTCTGCGTATGTGTGAGGATATATAACGAACAAAAAAAAAAAAGAAGAAAACAAACTGTACCACACACATAGCATTGTATAGAGAAAATAAATCCCAAAACAGATAGAAAAAAAAAAAAAAAGAAATGAGAAACGCGAGATCAGTAGATAAATTGAATTGATTCTAAAATGTTCCTTTTCCATACATAGTCAATCAAACATTAATTAGATGTATATACATTGGAGTTAATCTTCTAGTCGATAAAATAAACACTCTCGGTAAGTCTAATAGGGTTTTTCTATTTTGTTTATTTAGCAATGTTAAAAAATAATATAAATAATATCATTGTAAAGATAAGATAAAAATTTAGAATCAGAAAAAATTCTCTTAATTAGTAAATTTATTTTAAACGATTGAATTAAATTTGATATTCTGTCTCTTCTCAAATAGACTTTCTTTTCACTATATTTTATGACATCAATGAATTTTTAATAATCTAAAAAGCATTACACATTTTACTTTTTCTCACATATGCCAGATCATTTGAATATGTTTTGTTAACGGATGTTATTAAACGTCTTGAAAAATTTCTATATTTTTTTTAATCATAATTTTATTATTACATAATTAACATCAACAACACTTTACGTTTCCCAGATATATCCAAAATGATTAATTATTTATATTAAATAGTATTCTTATTTTCATTATATTTGTTATCTTGCAAATTACAGTCAGTATGATAACTCGAGAAAAACATGATAGATCGAACAAAAAAACAAAAAAAAATAATAAAAATTCATTTGAGAGCAGGTGGATATATATATATCGAAGGTCAATTTTATCAAGATATATTAATAGAGTTCTTTTATCTATTCTCAAATGATCAAAATATTATTATGTAAGTTCATATGGGTATTGAAGAAATATTAGAAAAAGTATTGTGACATGTTTATCAAACGAAATTGTTAAGATCTTTGAAAATAATCAATATCGAATAATTTAGTATTGATCTAAAACAAAATTGAGTTCTTTAAAATGAATATTGATAAACTATTAACTATATGTTTATTTTGATTATATTTTCTAGATACAATATCATCAGTTACAGTTAGAGTTAATTTTTTGTTATTCACAATTTGGTTTTAATCTTTTTTTAGTTGATATTCGATATGTAAAAGAAAGAAAATATACAAGAATGGTCATAATCGATTGGCTACAAACATGTCAATTTATAAAAGGTAGTTTTGTTTGTTTCAAATAAATGAGAGTCATTTTTGTTTGTTTTTTTGACTATAACAGAACCTTATTATTTTCTCATACGTATCATATTTTGATGTCTTTATGTATTTTCTAGATAATTTGGAACGTTTTGTACTATATTTGTTATGTGGATGTTTTATGGGTTTAACAATTATTTTAACAATAATTACTATTATTTTATATAATGAAAAACGTATAAGTACTAAAACGATGACTCATGATATTTTACCTAATAGTTCGCCGAATAGTTTTGTGACACAAGAAAAAAATAAATATGAATTTACAACGACAAAAGATTATTCTAAATCGTATATACCCGTTTATCGATATAATAGTCGTGCACTTATACACAATTCAATTGTGAATGATGATGATAGAAAACCAACACTAAAACATTTTACATCAAATAACGGATATTTTCCAACATCATACACATAATTTATTGCTTTTTTTATTACATATTCCGGTGGTTATTATTATTCATTCTAATTTTATTTCATAAGTAGATTTTAATAAACCTATTCACTACAAGATATATTTTATTAATATGGTTAGATGTTGTTACAGTAATTGTCGAATTATTCTGACAATGTTCACATTTTATAGCTCTTGACATTTAATTTCACTCATATACGCACATACACATTTTATAGACAAACATTTATACAGCCTATAAACATGTATATCTTATAAAATTATCTAGATTAATTATACTGTTTTCTTTCAACGTATATTGAACATTTTTTTTCCTAAAGACATACGGAAAATACAAGTTCAATACATTGAAGAAACTAACTCTATTAACACAAGGAAGATATATTATTTTTTTTGGGATTTATTACAGATCAATTCTTAGCAACAGTTTACTTACGATCTTTCTCCAGTATGTGCGATCACTTACTGATGACTCTTGGGTCCTCTTTAAGTACAAAATTTTCTTTTACTTTTTTTTTATACTTCATTTGGTGTGAACTGTCAATGTACATGATTAAAAATATAAATGGTTTTTTTAAACAAACAAAAATGTGCTGAAATAATAGAAGTAGAATAGGAAAGAGGTTATTTTAAAACTTTTTAACTAACTAGTCTACTAAATTAAATTTTATCAGTTTGTACGTAACATTATATTATCACCTAAAAAAATGAAAATAATATTTTTCTTTTCTTCCTCTATTCTGTTGCTTTTCTTAATAACATTGTTGTTCATTACTACATATAACAATACTATTTCACGAATATTCTAGTTGTATAAACATGTGTCTATGTTCAACATTCATATGTAAGAGATGTCTTACTGTTGTTGATTAAGACGTATAAGAAAAAACCTGTTGAGAAATCTAAGCTTGTAATGAACATATATTGTTATTTTTTTACTATTAAATAATGAAATCAGTACTTGTTCTATGACTACGATTGACTGGCATATAATTATTTTTGTTAATTATTCAAAGAAAGCACATGTTGTCAATATGAGTGTCAGAAACAAGAATTGTACTAATGACTTTGAAAAGTTCATAGTTTGATTTAAGCAAAAAAATCATCATCAACACAAATTCATCGTCAGTAAAGTATATAAATTCTATTATTATTAATTACTATTAAAACTTAAAAACAAGTTATAGCAACAAATTCCATTTCATCTGTACAATAAGCTCATATTCCTGGTCCTCTCATTAAAATGACAATTTTTGTCAATAGTATTGATTTTGAGAAAGCACACGACTGAATAACTAACTATGTTTATTTTCAGAGTCTGTATCTCATGCTACTCTACAATTGATTTGCCATGACTTTAGACCAAGTGTCCTAAAGACTGTGAAAAAGGTTTTTGAATAAAAATATTTTCCTCACTTCCAAATATACAGATTTATAGAACAGGCTTTTGATATTAAAATAAAATATCACGCCACTTTTTAGGATCGTGCGGTACTGACAGAACGAGTTCAAAAAATATTTCGTTACAATACTTTGAATAGCTCTGTATTTTCTGAAAATTTAGCCAAAATCAGAATAATAGGTATTGACAAAAGTTTTTAACAGAGGGAGAATAGCTTAATAAAACAGAACAACAAAAAGTAGTAACAGAAAACAAAAAACATTTTTTTTAAGTATAAATTATATTAACAGTAGTACGCATAAGTACAGTAAAATACTCAGAAAATGGCTGTTTAACAGTATTCTCATCATCTTGGTTTGAATTTGATATCATTTAAACCTTGAAATTGTCTTTTCAATGAATTTTTGTCCGCCCAATCTGAATCTAGATATGCATTATCTTCATTTTCTTCTAATTTCTAACATTGTAAAAAAAAAGACAGTTCAATTTAACAATAAATGAAGCAAGTGTTTCAATTCGCGCATATTTAGAGATTTTTTTTTTACGTTTTTTTGAACATTACCTTCATTTCTTGTTGTTTTCTATAATAATAAGCCATCATCTGTTTTTGTTCTTCTTCACTAACAACGGGTTCTCTTGCAGGGGCACCTCCACCTTTCTGGAATAAAAACATCACATGAATAAACATTTTATTAATTAATGATTAATCTCTCCTATATACCTTTTGAATTTTAACTAAAACTTTTGTTTTTTCATTTGTTCCAACATAATCGCACAATTTTTTACCACGGTGCATTTCTTTTCCACTAAACCATAAACTTGCTTCTTCTTCTTTTATAACATCTAAACTGTCCTAAATAAAAACACATCTAAGCTATTCACTCAGAAAATCTGTCTTATTTTCTTACTTGTGTTCCATCAAGTTCTTCTTCGTTTTTAAATTCTAATTCTATAAAATATAAAGATAAACATAAAAAATTCTTTCTGTTAATAGGCTGCCGAAAATAATAATAGCTCACCAATGGGATCGTAAGGTGGTAAACCCATTGGATAAACAATCATAACAGCTCCTTTCAATTGTTGAATAGCTTCATTAATATCATCTCGTGTCACACACTTATTGGCATCAACTAATTTCTAAACTATGGACATATACAAAATATTTCATCTATAGGAAATTAAAAAAAACAAAACGTCACCTTTGATATTTTATCTTTTGCATCTTGAACGGTTTTATTCAAAATTTCTTTCATCTTTTCGGTTGGAGCTAAAAACGAAGAGAAAAACAACGTTAGAATAGGTAACAAACGAAAAATTAGTTACGTACAACGCCCATTTCTTCTTCCCGTTACATCTTCTTCTTCGATATAACCGTCCATTGGTATACAAACATCTTCATATTCATCTTTAAGTTTCAATTCTGTTATTTGTTCTTCCGTCAAGCCTTGCATATTGATTGGAAGTGTAATGCCATGTTTTGCAAGAAGTTGTATCTCTAAATAAACAACAAACTTCACGAATTTTCAACGATTTAATATTTATCACCTTACCACTGCATATTCTATGTACTTTTAGACGACCATTATAAATCAGAGCTATTTCGCGCAGAAGATCATCGATAGCCATGTTTGTATTTGTCTCATACAAAAACTGATTTGCATCGCCATACTTTATGCTTAATCTTACCATATTGACTGATTAGAGTTTAATCTAAAAGTCTAGAAAAGAAGAGTGTAAAACATTCCATTCTCAATAGATAATTGTGTCCTAATAGTAACCTCGAATATTTATGAATCTTACAGAATACTCCAAAACTATGTCCGGATCTTGGTGTATATAAAGTTTTTTTTAAAAAAATCAAAGTTTTGTATCCGTATTCTCAACTTCGATTTAAGCAATGAGTACAACTACTTTTCCACTGAGATATTTCATTTCAACTGAAGAACAACAGAATGTAAAATCTTGAATATTCATGATACACTCGAGAACACTTTTGAACAACAAGAAGCTAAGGTACTTTATATCTATGTTTGACCTATCTACACAGAAAATGTAGACCAGTCTAAGTCTTATTGCTTTGGAAGATCCTATACTTTGGTTAATCGCCATATGAACTCAGTTTAAAGCACGAATCAAAAATAGCGATCATTTCTGCATCAAAAGAAATAGACTGCAAAATGCAAGAAAAAAAATAATAAAAATAAAGATAGTGTACATCACAATTAACAGAGATGCATTTAATCTCAATCTCCATCTCGTGACTGGTTAGCCTTCTGTTACAAACCTTTTAAAACGTAAATTGTCCCATTTGTGAATGGTAACTATGGACCACCATTATCTAGGTTAAGAAGTCTGTTTAGTGATGAAAGGTTGTGTTCTAGTGCTGAGTCCTCTGTCGCCAGTTGTTTATAACAATCAACTGCAGGCAGAACAATCCCCTCAAATTACTTCTCAGCATTTAAAACTAAGTTTTCTATTCAATATTTTAAGCAAGTAGTGGCGTAGCCATCAGGTGGACTATTTAATGGTTTTGCCCATTATAATTCACACTACTCTGCGCTACTGTCTACCACTTTGAAAAAGTTTGGGACAACGCCCATTCACGAACAACAAAAATTTGAGACAACGCCCACCCACTTACAAAATCCTGGCTACACCACTAGAAGCAAAGTCGGATCACAGCTTAAAGGATAAAGAACACGTCGGCATACGCAAACTTTCCATCGTTAAAAAGCTTTTTTTCCCTCTGGGCTAGCTATCGGGATGGTGTAGCATACCAAGTTTTCTAATAACGACCGTATTACTTTTCTTCATAATTTTCAGACATTCATCTAATAAAAAATTCTTTGATTAAAAAAAAATGAAATTTATACCCAGGACGTTGAAAATGGTGTAATTTATTGTCTATTAACAGCCCAAAAAATGTGTCTTAAATGATATTTTTTAGCTAAATAACACCATTTTTAGACCCTGTTTATGTAACGGTCATAAAATGGATAATAAAATGCCATTTAATGGTTATCTAAGTCTGAGTCTTAATAACACACAATTAGTTGCTTTGTTTTAGGCCATCATTAAAGGCCAGATGAAGGACAATGACTGGTGCCTGTTAAATGACCATTTTTTCTCAATCAAAACCCTGTTGTTAGCCATTTCGCTAACAGATCCTTTATGTCCTATTAAATGCCAGTTATACTGACATTCTTTGACTTTTTTGCGTTTTTTATAAAAATAAGTATATTTAATATAATTGAAAAACATAAATGTCAGTTGTTTTTGACCTTGGTAGAAAACGCAGGAATGTTCCACCTCCTCTTAAAGTTGCACTCCTCCATCGGAATTTTATCTTTTACAATGCAAAATTCTGTTCAGTTTTCCAATACAGAAAATTGTATCAGTTGCTTACATTTAATAATACTTCTAAAAGTAAGGGTTTATTTCTTCTACTAATTATTCCGTTTTTGTCTTAGACAACAGTCTCACATCAATACACTTTTCAATTCGATAAAATTTGTCATTTTAGCTTTATTCTGAAAAAAATTTATGTATGCACCTACATTTTCTTCGCCTACGGGCTCAATTTTTCTTCTATTATTTTCTACTTTTTAGTTTGTTGTCGGAAATGTGTATAATTCGTTAAAAAACAATCGTTATGGCTTTTAATTAACTGAAAATTCTATCAATGGTTATTGTCATTAAGAAATAGTTTGTGTAAAGTATTTGTGTATATTTACTTTGTTGTAACAAAGTCATAGAAAAAAAAAAGAAACAGAGAATGACTCTAACAATATTTTTGAAATTGAAATTTTTCATACGTTGTAAAGAAGTAAATAATCATATGTCGTAGTATTATTGAAAATTTTTATTCATTGAAGATATATAAAAGCAAATAGACGAATAATTCTTTTTACATTGTGTTTGCCAAAGGCATATGACTAAAATATTTTGGAATAATTTAATCTAAATGGAAAAATATTTTAATTAATAAAATTATAAATTTGCTATGGTAGATCAAATAATTCAAGCGAAGCTCAATTGCGCCATAACTAGGCTTCTCTTTCTTGGGAATCTGTGTCCATAAATTATTTTATTATATAGGCCGTTGTATCCTCTATGTAACATTCTGTTGGCATATTTCACGTTTTCTTTCACCGATGCTTACGTCAGATTTATCAATAACATTAGAACTTAAACGGCAATTGGATTTTGCACGTTTTGTTATTGAACAATCAAATCATGCAGAAGTAAGTGGCAATCTTACATTTCGTTTACAGTTTGTTTAATTGAGCTACTGTTTTTTTTACTGAACAAGAAGTTCGAATATGTCTTCTAGCTGACGCAGATAAATAAAGGAGCTTATTGTAACGAATCAGCTTACTATATGCATGAATATCGTATTTTCACTTCTTCTTGCAGCGTTGTCAGTTCATTGAGCGGTTATTACCAAGTTGTAGTGTTGCTCAAATTGACTTTTTATGGTCAGTTCTGCAGCAAACATTGCATCGAGATTATTACTATTCCGTGATGAATAATTATCCAAATTACCACTTCAAACGTATTAGTACGCCAGTAAGCCGTGTACTAAAGGTAAATTTTTTCTAATGTTTTGTGGTTACATTCTATATCTTAATTACTTATTAGGAAATTCATAAACGACCATATGATAGAGACGAAAGTTTTTATCTTTCATCTACTAACGATCTACGTCAATTTCAAGAAGAAGGTACTATTCAACCACCACATTCGTCATTTGCACAGTAAGTTATATCTACAGCTTGATGGTATAGTTTTTATGAAGCACCAGGATCAAAGAAGAAAGATCTGACTTTTTTGTTTAAAAAACCTATAGTCCGTCAATGATCTGCCTAAAGGTCAATTAATAGTACTGGTATATGCACAAATAAAGGCATATAGGAGCGAGAGAAAGACAAAAATGAGTCTCTCGCTTAAAAGAGCTGTAACGTATCATGTTGTTTGTCTATATCTACTATTATTCGGATAATGCTGAGTTAATAATGCATTTTGTAATATATATTGAGCATTGTAAGGATTAGGTATAATTTCCTGTTGACTAGGTTGATAGTACGAAGATAGAAGCTGATAGTCTACGTCATTGTTTTGGTGAGTTTGGTATTGCGAATCGTGCTGATGCATTCGATAAGATGAATTTTGTACATTATGATTTGAATTAATGTTTGCTCGCTGATAGTTTAAGTTAATTTCGGGTATGTCTCTGTCTATATAATGCAATCTCCCATCATAATTGGTACTCGTGTGGTATGAATCCGGTAGATGTGTATGTTGAGTAGTGTGAGGATACCTCGATGAACCATTTAAATAACTCCTATTATCATAGGGTGTTGATTGCGGATGATATGGTACAGAAGTATTATTCCTTACTGTTACATTATTGATCAGATCCGTACCACAGCCAATGTTTTGAAGGACTTGTCTAATACTTTCAGTTCTTCTTAATTGGGTGCCATATTGAGCTCTATAAGTAGCTGGATCAACTCTATATAATCCAACATTTTGCACTTCTCTCATTACTTTGACACGTGCTGGTTCATACTGAACAATTATATTTCTTGTTGGTACAGGTTGAATTTGTGGTGCTTTTTCGTAGAGAATCGCTGGTCTTTGCGGTTGCTTGTATGGTAACCATTTTTCTATGACGATCGGTCGTGGTTTTTCTGGCAAAGGGGGAATACGTTTAACGATGACGCGTCGCGGTGGTGCAGGTGGTGGTGGGAGAGTTTTTGTTATAATTTTTGGTGGTTGATATTCTGGCGGTATAGGTGGTTCTTCTCGAATTATAATGGGAGAAGGGGTCCGAGCAGGTAATGGCTGGTTTGGAGTGACTATTAGTGGCGGAATCTCTGGTGGAGGAGGTGATCGAACTTCTTTTATTATTAGAGGACCTGGTGGTGGCGGTGTTGGCGGCTGTAAATATTTAACCCCAACCTTTTGTACATAAACAATACGTTCAGGATTATCTTTGTAAACAATTTCTGGATCCGGATCGAAATTAAGTGGATGATGTTCAACTGGAACTGATCGAATTTGTTCTTCTGATGGTGTTTTTTTTACAAACAGATCATTTAGTTCACCAGGTATTGTCTCTCGATAGACATGTGTATCATGAATGTATGGTTCAGAAATTGTACGTGGTCTTGTTGTATAGTGTTTTTCATCAAATATATTGTCCATATACTGAGAAGTTGAGTCGCGTTCAAACGAATGATCTCTATTTCTTGTAGGAGACGGTTGTCTGTCAAATGCTTCTTTCCAACTAATTTTAGTTGGCCGAGAGTACGATTCTACTCCACTATCCATCTCATATCTTTTCGCTACATCAAAATTATATTTATCATCCCGATAAATGGTATTTTGCCTTCTTTCATCAGACTCGTTTCTATGTGCATTTTGTCCAATTGCAGAAGAATGCGATTTATAAAATGTAACTGGAGAGGATCGTGATACTCTCCGTTGATTAAAATCTTCAGATGCAGGACATCGTTGCATTTCAAATTGTTTTTTATATTTTTCTGGAAACAATCTAGCAAAAGCTGAGTTCGATGAGATATTATGGGGAGTATCGGGAGCAATTGACACTTGTCTAGTTGGACTGGTCTCCCATGATAATTCATGGGATTTTATATTTGTTTGTTCCCTTGTCGTTGTCGTCGTTGTTTCTTCAACAATTGGTCGAGATTTTCTACCATCACCAGCTTTAGCATTCCATCCATCACGAATCTGCTTGAACCGTTGACTATGGTCCATCAGCGCAAGAACTTTTTTGAAGTCACTCTGGAGTCTAAATTGAAACAGGAAAAATGTTTAATTAAACTACATCTTTGGTTGTTAGATTTGCCACTTGCTGTTGTCTGCTCAACTTGAGAAAGCAGATCTGATATTTTCGAATAACAATTTGTGTTGTTCCTTTTTACAGCAGATCTTTAATTAAACAAATCCATAAATAATTGATCAAATCTCTTTTCGTATCGCTCAGTGGAACAGATGATCTTTATGTTCCTACTTTCTTTGCTTTGTCTGTTCCGTTTCAGATTTCTTTTGTTAGATTATGCAGAAGTTTATTCTGCTTTATAGAGAACGTGAAAACTACTCTTGTGGACCGATACGCATCTTTAGAGTTAAGTTCATTTATAGGTAATCTTTTGTAATTTAGTGAAACTAAGATTTCTAACGTGATTCTACTGTGCTGAACATAATACTCACAAAACTATTTGATAACTATTGGATTGTTCTATGACATTCTATTTTTCCACCCGTCCTCCGACAAAAACCTTTTATGCCTCCTGAACATTACTGTCGCATAATAGCCATGTAATGAGCGCAATTATATTAAATAAGCAATTGACCATGAAACGAAAAAATCAGCATACTCAGTCATCGATGTTACGGCTGATTGAGTTGTACATCTGTTGCCATTAACAGAATAAGAAAAAGAACATGTTGTAAGCATTGATTCAAATAATCATTGAATAAATATATTCATACAATTATTTAATTTGAAAATACTTGTGTATTAATATTGCAATTATGACCTTCTATTTTTATTGTGAGAAAAGAGAATACTTGAACGAAAATTAATTCAGTTCGTTCTGTATTTTAGTTTCTCTGATGAAAAATCAATTCAAACAACGAAAATTTCCAAAACAACATCATTTACTACTGCTAAAACAATTGAAGATATTGATCGAAAGAAAAAACCGATTTATCTACAGCATGATAATGGAAATTGTACAGACAGGTCTGAAAACTTTTAACTTTGTACTATCATCAATTTAATAGTGATCATTTTTCAATAAGATCAATAATTAAATTGTATATTCTTTTATCTGTTAACTTTAATTTAGGTTTCCTCAATTACCTGCAAAACGTCATATGTTGCAAAGTAATTTGGAAAATTATAGTGACAAACATGATACTAAGAATAAAAGTAAAAATCGATTTTCACACAGTAGTAAATCGTTTCAGATACATCCTTTAATAAACGCAAAATTAGCGAAGGTAAATGAAATTAAAACTTAAAATTATTTTTTTCCAATTAATTTTATCTCATCATATTATTTTTGAAGGATTTTCTAACTGTAAAATTAAGTTTGTCTAACGATAAGGATCGTTCTAATAATCAGCAATTGTCTACAATTATGAATTTATTTAATCATTATTGGAGAGGTTTGAAAAATAAAATATTTTTGTAATCTTTTACATCTTCATGAAATTCTTATTTCATTTAGAATCTGAACAAAATGAATTTCTACGACGTCTATTCAGTCAATTTGATCAACGTCAACAATATTATACATGCTGTTTTATTGCGGTATTTATCATTTACAAGTGAATATGAATTACATTAGAGTGAACATTATTACAAAGAAGAAATTATAAATGGAAATCATTAATTATTATTTTTTTAAAATTTTAGCAACGCAAACATAGAGATTTTGTTAGTTTTCTACCAGAACAATTAGCAGTAAAAATTTTGTCACATTTATCATCAAAAGAACTTAGCACTGCACGTCAGGTATGAGATACTGTTTTTCTAGAGAATATTCATAGTTTTTCCATACTCATGTCAACCATCTATTTTTCCTTTGAGGTGTGTAAAAAATGGAATAGTCTAGTTGACAAAGAAGATATATGGCGTTTGAAATGTGAAATATTCGACGTTGGTAAATATAGAAAAGTGACCGTTTTTAAGAATTAAGTAATCGTAGCTAATAGTTGTTTTTATTAGAACATGTCAAAGTACCGTCGACTGAATGGCAAGAAATTTATAAACACAAACTTATTACAAAGCAAAATTGGAGCACTGGATCTTGTCGACTGTTAACAATTAAAGGTCATAAGCAAAGGTTCGTAATATTCTTAGATATGAAGAATACTTTTACGTCGAAATGAGGATACTCTACTCGCACGTCTTAGCCACGGTACCGATTCAAATAAATGTTTCATTGATTTGACACTTTCCACATGTTCTGGTACAGTTTCTAAACTTAATCGAGGCGTAAACATTCGATGATTGTTACTAACCTTGCTTGGTCGTCTTGCATAACCGTTATTCAGTAGTGAATATGTTGGAATTTGATCTTCATCGACAAAGCCCACATTATGCTGACCACTATTCTCAACATCGGCAACACGTGATAAACGACGTTGTACAGCAGTTGGTAAATGAATTGCATGTTCCATGTTTCTATCAAGATCTTTCGTTAGTTCTTTGATTGATTTTGCACGCGCTCTAGCAGGATTTGTATCAATAAAACGTTGTAGTAGCTTTTGTGCATAATTTTTAGCTTTAATATGATGTACAACGGCAATAATAATATGTAGTACCAATGCTACCAGTACTAGCAATGGTACCAAATAACCGGTTTTTGATCCATGATGTAAGCCAATCGTTTTTTCTCCCTTTGTTATATCATAACATCCATATCTTGGTTTAAATAACGTTTCAAAATTATCCACAAATGTTAAACATATAACATAGTCACCATCTTCAAGACGAACTAGTCTTAATGAATTATGACTTTCAGTTAACCGTTGTCGGGGTAAATATTCACTATGTGTTGTACCAAATAGTCGAATACTATAGTAATAATAACGATATGCTTGCAAAACCCAATCGTCCACTTCA